TACACGACTATGTTTTGCCATTAACCAACTGACTAAAATTTACTTTTGTCCAATTATTAACTCATTTATATCCACGTGAATCAGTTGAAACTACAATTCAGACGGTGTTAATTATTAATTCCCATGGTATTGATATTAAAATTGGTCGAAAGTTAGGATGGAAAGTTAATATGAAAAGATAATACTTTCCCTCCCTCAAATCCAATTTTCGTTATTTTCCTTACCAATACTTCTCTATTATGAACATTTATACCTTTCTCATCATCATATTACAATCATTTGTGAATAGTGTACAGCATTATGTTCTCCATAATCATTCCATATGAAATTGTTTTCATGAAAAATATCAGAATTGTTATTATGTGTAAAATGTTATTCATTTTCAAATGTAATTTGATCTATACCACAGAAAGCACTATGTACATTACAATTTAATACAATCCACAATAAAACAATGTTTCTGTTCTCAATATTCATATTTCATGGATTCCAACGTAATTTCCGACCATTACATCCATCATTCCACCATCGTGCCATACGCGGAACCCAATAGGGACCAAATGAATGAGATGTATGAGCTTGTTGATCACCAACGTAGATGATCTATGTCGAAATGATTGCAGGCCTACCCGAGTTAGATGTGCACGGTGTGACAAACTAGCTAACGTCGAAGTCACACCTCGTAGTCAGCACCTTACGTGGACTACCCCCATTGACGTAACAAGGTACTATAGATGCTTTGAAGACTGTACAACACAAAGGACGTTATTACAGAAATATATTAGTTAAGGTAGATACAAGCGAAAGTAAGACCACTGCCGCATGGGCCAGTCCATGGCGTATGATTAACTAATGCGCGTTGCTTGTACATGACCTTGGCAGGGAGCGATGATCTGTTCGACATTCAGTGATCCAACTGCTGGATGATTTGGCTAGGGCTCAGTGACATTTCACTGGCCCTACAAGCTAGCAGACACATTGCACATTGAGGTTGTGAATCCCGATCATGTATGATTCCATGACCATGCCATGCAAAATATTCATTATATGCAGTATCGTTCTCGTCCAAATACTTCAAATAGTCTGCCAGTTTAGCTGGTGATTCGAATCAATCAACGTGAATGAACGAGTATGGAGGAGCGACTCTCATATTCCTCTATAGTGACTCACATGCAATCGAGTTTAGTTCAGTCAATGTCTTTTGTTGACCTACTTAATGGACAAAGTCATCCATGATATAACAACTTGTTGTACTATCTTTATTATTATGCTTGTATGAAATACATATGCTTGAACATTGTTTAGCGCCTACGCGTGTATTCATTCTGCTAGCTTCATTATTAACTGCTTAATCTATTCGCTGACTCAACCATTTTCCTATACATATATATATGTGTACATTTGCACCCATTCACTACTACTACTACTACCACTACTACAACTACTACAACTACTTGCTACTGCTCATTCATTTTGTCTCTCTGCTGTCTGGTCCGAATTATCTACTAAATAAACTGTAGTAGCTGCTTCTTTTTGCCTTCTGATTCCAAACATCGTTGAAGATTATACGATAACGGTTCGAGGGTGATTAATTATCGAAGCACAGCCACTACAGAATTGGTAATCCCGACGTGAGAACGGGAAGTGAATTTTGACGAAATAATCAAATTCCAAAAATTCGACTACCTTCATCTCAATTTGGATTATCAAATGAACTATAATTACAACTGTGGATTTATATTATTATTTTAATTACACTTACATTATTTTGCAAACATTATTAAACGTGACGATTATAATCGTAATAAATAACAATTATTCATAAACTATTGATATATTGGTGCAATTTAGTAAGTCTGTTCCATTTTATAAATTGTGCCATTTTTTTATTATCATTGTTTTTGCCCGTCTATTCTTCCGTGTGCTACTTAATTTTTATAAGCATGTCTTATGAAAACACAGTTTCAAGCGTACAGCAAGCCTCGTCCGTGAGGTCTCTTAACCTCCCTACCCCTTCTTTTAAAATCACAGACCCAAAACTTTGGTTTATAAGGCTTGAAAATTATTTTCTCGCTAACCGCATTCTTTTGCAAAAGGATAAGTTCGGCCTGACAAGCACACTACTCTCAGACGAAGTAGCTGACAGTGTTCGAGAGGCACTAGCAAAACCAGACACAGAAAAACCATACGACGTGCTAAAAGAGGCAGTAATTAAAACTCTCTCTCTCAGTGACCAACAAGCCGTCGAACAACTCCTTAATCAAGTACAAATTGGAGATAGAACCACATCACAACTAAAAAATTATATGAAAAGTCTACTTGGCGATAGACACATTGACAATAATCTCTTTTATCAACTGTGGCTCCGCCGACTCCCGGCAAATATACAGCAGATCTTAGCTGTGGGAGATACGGATGCTGATTTAGACAATATAGCAAAGATAGCCGATAGAATATACGAAAGAAGCAAGCAAGCAAGCCCTCTACTACACAACGTGACGGTAGACGATAGACTTGATACTCTACAGAAAGAAATAAATGTTTTATGCCGCAAACTCACAGAATTAACGCAGAGAGAAAAACCACGAAGGTCATCGCGAGATCGCTCGCGTGAAAGGACCCGGTCAACTTCTAGACGACGCACAACTCCCGCGATATGTTGGTATCATCAAATGTTCGGCTACAGGGCTAGAAAGTGCCTACAACCTTGTAGATTTAACAGGGCTAGTAACCGATACCCACGAGTATCAATGGCAACAGCATCAACACACATAATGCCTGAAAATAATCGCCTCTTTTATATACAAGACCGGACCACTGGCGCACAATTCTTAGTTGACACTGGAGCTGAAATTAGCGTAGTACCTCCATTTAACGAGGAAAGAAAAAACATTAACCCGTCGTTAGTGCTAAGAGCAGCAAATAAATCAGATATTAAGACATATGGTAAACGGAAATTGTCCCTAGATTTTGGACGTGGCGCTTCATACCGCTGGAACTTTGTCATAGCAGACGTATCGATGCCCATAATAGGCATAGATTTCCTATGTAACTTTGACCTGCTAGTAGACTCTCGTCGACACAGACTTATAAACGGCAGTCAAACCACTTCGATAAGAGGAATACTTACGGAAGCCGTTTCAATGAACCTTGTGATAGATAAAAGTCGTGGTGATCCATATAAATTGTTGTTAAAGGAGTTCCCTGAACTCGTAAAAGTAACATACAATAAAGCTGATCTCAAACATTCTATTCAGCATCACATCATAACGAATGGTCCACCAATCAATGCAAGACCAAGAAGGTTAGATCCCAAAAGTCTAGCCATCGCAAAACAGGAATTCGACAAGCTAATGAGGCTAGGCATTATAAGGCCATCGAGCAGCCCGTGGGCATCCCAACAGGCAGGATTCCGTAAGGATCGATCGTGTACAGATCAAATCGCAACTCTGTGGATCATTGTGGAACAGTCAATTGGATGGAATTCATCACTCTACATCAACTTCATTGACTACGAAAAGGCATTTGATAGCGTGGACAGAACAACACTATGGAAACTTTTTGACACTACGGCGTGCCTCAGAAGATAGTCAATATCATACAGAATTCATATGATGGATTACACTGTAAAATCGTGCATGGAGGACAGTTGACAAAGTCGTTCAAAGTGAAGACCGGTGTTAGGCAAGGTTGCTTACTCTCATCCTTTATCTTTCTCCTGGTGATCGACTGGATCATGAAGACGTCAAAATGTGAGGGGAAGCACGGGATACAATGGACATCTAAGATGCAGTTGGACGATCTAGACTTTGCAGATGATCTGGCCCTTCTATCCCAAACGCAACAACAAATACAGGAGAAAACGACCAGTGTAGCAGCAGCCTCAGCAGCAATAGGTCTCAATATACACAAAGGGAAAAGCAAGATTCTCCGATACAACACAGCATGCACCAATTCAATCACAATTGACGGAGAAGATTTGCAAGATGTACAGGGTGGATCTGATGCAGATGTGAAGGTGAGGATCGGTTAAGCAAGAGCAGCATATTTACAACTGAGGAACATCTGGAACTCAAAGCAACTGTCAACCAACACCAAGTTCAGGATTTTCAATACAAATGTCAAGACAGTTCTACTGTATGGGGCAGAAACCTGGAGAACTACAAAAGCCATCATCCAGAAAATACAGGTGTTTATTAACGATTGTCTACGCAAAATACTTCAGATCCATTGAACGGACACTATTAGCAACAACGTACTGTGGGAGAGAACAAACCAGATCCCAGTGGAGGAAGAAATCAGGAAGAAGCGCTGGAAGTGGATAGGACACACATTGAGGAAAGCACCCAACTGCGTCACAAGACAAGCCCTCACATGGAATCCTGAAGGCCAAAGGAAAAGAGGAATATGAAAGAACACATTACGCCGGGAAATGGAAATAGACATGAGAAAAATGACCAAGAATTGGATGGAACTAGAAAAGAAGGCCCAGGACAGAGTGGGTTGGAGAATGCTGGTCAGCGGCCCATGCTCCATTGGGAGTAACAGGCGTAAGTAAGTAAGTAAGTAATATTTCAATAACAATCATTCATCCAATCTAACTGAAGTCATATATACCAAGTCGCTAAATACGTAGTTACCTGATCGATGACCAACTATCGCTTATCATCTGATTTTATTTATGACAAAATGAAATACTGATATAGTTCTTACTATAAAGTACAGCATATGATATTGGTAGCATCTGGACAAAAATCGTAGATTCATCGATTTATTACTCGTTAAAATGTCTCTGATTTATAATAGTCTAACTTTATTTAACCACTGTACTTATGAGCCCAAATATTTGATCTGTCCCTCTTCAAATTCTTTTCGTTATTTATGTGTATATCTTGGATAAATATTAAGGTAATTACATATGCTTGACTAACTTCGTATAACAATTGAATATACTATGTTTTATGCGAATAATAGACAACATAATTTGTTCAGTACAACTTATAGAAATTCATTTGCCCCACGGCAATTTTTTTTAAAAAACCCCCACCCACCCTGTTTAAAAATGTTTTTTCAACCCAAAATTGCAATATTTTTCATCTCGTTTCGTCCAATGAAATGGCTAGTTTTGAAGTTCGTTTTTAATTTGTTAGTTATGTTTTGTCGGATTGCTATAAAACATCAGTACTTGTCGACGAAGTACATTTTAATCATCATTATGGAGGAAAGTAACGTGCCTAGTACAAGCGCTGTTGTTTCTCACGTAACAGAAATAGAGGAAGTCTTTTTGACAACGTTGTTTCTCGTTGCGTTCCCATCGATTGAAGCGTTGAAGTCCGCTATCACAAATTATGAAAGATCAACTTACTGTCATTATGCAGTTCGAGATTCGCATTTGTGCAGAAATGAAAACTCGTACATTAAATTTGTGTGCCGGAGACATGGCCGTCACAGCGGATTAGACGGAGGAGGTAATTTTATAAATGTTATTAACATTTTTTGTCATGAAGGGCTTCCATGAACACTGAATGTCCGGCCTTCATGTATTGTAAGATTATCGACGGCTACTGGACTGTTGTACGTGGGAATGTGCATCACAATCACGAGTGCAATTCCCTAAGGTACCAAGGAAATTCATGGGTGCGCAGGTTAACAGAGGCCCAGTTTGAAAATGTGCGACCGCTGCTAATATCTGGTACTGCTTCATTCCACATTAAGAATTATGCTTACCATTCTTATGGGAAACTACTGACTGATCAAGATATATATAATATGCGGTACAAAGTGTTCTCACAGGCGAACATTCCTGGTAAGCCATTTGCCAATTTATAATGTAAACGATAGGTGATTACGGGAAATTGAAAGCGCACATAACATCTTTGGGTGGGCGATGCGAATACGAATTAGACGATGAGAACTGTCTATCGTACTTTTTCTTCAGCACTGGTGATCAAAAGATTTTTGCAGACCGTTTCGGTGATGTTATTGGTTTGGACGGAACATACAAGACGAATAACGAGAATATCTATTTATATCAGGTCGTAGCCCTTGATATAAATTTGAAGGCGATACCCGTTTGTATTGCATTTATAAGTCGCGAAACATCGACATTGATTTCTCGATTCCTGTCGTTCTTCCAACGGTTAACCAACAGTCGACAGGTGGTAGGCATTGTGACAGATGATTCACCTGCAATAGCTGCTGCCATCATGCAGGTGTATCCCAATGCTCACCATATCTTGTGTCGCGTCCACCTTGTTCGCAATGTTATAAAGAGGGTAACTGTTTCGTTCATTAACATTAACCCAGTAACCTTAATTGTAGAGGGTACGATCAGAAGTGATACAACTATTTTTTCGCCTGATGTTTACTCTGTGCTTATGACCCATCACCGAACGTACGAGCAGTACATTGTCCGATGTGTGGCGCCATTACCAACTAATAGTTTGGACGTCCCACCGCGAGAACGATTAAAGGCCCTTTTCAGGGCCACCCACAAATTGATTTAAATTCATTTTTCCTAATATTGTTTTTGTCTATGGCAAAGGTCAAGTGATTAAGCATTTTTTAATGTCAAATGCATTTAGATATAACTTAGATATTAATAATCGATAAGCGATTATCGCTCATGTATTCGTAAACTTGTTTCTAACGTTTATTAGATATAAAGGTTAAGAAAACAGACAAGATTTTGTCATTTTATGAACACTTATCTAATAATTTTAGATGTAAAATAATGTGATTACCGTTCATGCCTTAGTAACATATTTGTCAACTATCTATTACTAGTACATTTTAATAGGAATATTTTAATATAGTGAAAATCGTGATTTTGTCGTTAGGTGAATAAATTTATGAGGACATTTATTAGTGAATATAATAAGATAGTTACAAAGATGAATGTGATTAAAGCTCATAGAGAAGTAAACAAAATTGAGAAAAATATCTTCCTTATGAATAAGATACTGACATTATAAAACAAGTTGAAGCCGTCATCATTGAAATCAGTAATCTGATTAAAAGGTCATATAGTAAGTGTTAAAAGAAATAAGAATATTACCCGTTTCATGAATACAAAATGCAAGAATTTCATATTCCAGTTTTATATTAATAGTACCTGAAACCAGAACTAAGCGTACGTATAAATTACGTCGGATCGTCAACTAAGCCTTCATTGTTATTCATAACCACTGATTATATCAACGTATTCATTTGCACACCCATATAACTATTAATTACTGGTACAATCACACTATACAGTTATAAGTCCATAATTTCCATATTTTATAAAGGCCAAAAATATGTCATGGCATCAATGTAATGTGTTAACAATGGTGAACGTTCACATCTGTTATATATATATATATATATATATATATATATACTTACAAATTGTAACATTTGCAAATTAGAAAGGTCATTCAATAAAGGTCTGGATTATTTGCAGTAAAGTGTTCAGTCACAATAAGTGGAAGAGCATTATAGGAAAATTTAAAATGCAAAAAATTTTGTGTCAATGAAATGCATAGTATCAGAATTGAATCTTGTCAATTGACATAATAATAATAATAATAATAATAATAATAATAATAATAATAATAATAATAATAATAATAATAATGGTAAATAATAATAATAATAATAAGGAAAATAAATAAGAATAACATTGTAAATGTTCATTGATACAGTTGACCTTATTCATATTTATACGTTTAAAGTAGATAGATATTTGTTGAGTCAGTCAGACGACGTAGGCTTGTTCATTTACACTTCATGAAACTGATATTTCAAATGCTTGTCAAAAATGGTTACATTCATAATGTCTAGATATAGTTCAAGTTTCATATTACGGCGGTGAACAATATTCACATTTGACTGATTAAACAAACCAGTTTTTATTACGACCAAAAAATTAATTTTAAAATACAGAACTACAAATAATTTACAAGTGAACACAATAAACCCTTTCAATGGACTTTTAAAATTAACCGTATTGAAATCTAACGTTTTCTAATTTTCATTAAGAATGAACATTTACAAAAAAAATTTCACTAAATATTAAGTGCCTATTTCGGTTAAATTTATTACTACATTCATATACTGTCAAAGTCAGTTCATTCAATGATGGTCTACGGTTGCTTCACCTGAATCATAAATATTGCAACTAGTAAGTTATCATGATGATTTATTAATATGTTGATTTGTTTCTTGAACTAACAGACCATGTGTTACCAAAAAACCTATGCATACACTTTAGTGATAATTTGTTTATTAATTTGCTATTACAGATTTGACTACCGACCTTACTCAGTAATCACTATTATCAAATATTCAAACGGGTTTTCAGTTGCTGTTTTCCAAAAACTTTCTTTTTATGTGATATATATAAGTGCTCGTGACATTAAAATTGTTGATCGGAAATCAAAAATTTATCCCAATACGCATTCAGTAACAGTAGGATTGCACTTCAGTTGGTGTTTTTTTCTTTAAATGTCTAAATTTCTTACAAGACTAAGATTACACAAAAAGATTTATTCATTATCGTTAAATTTCAAATGTAAAAATCAAAATTCTGACCTCCAATCACAGCTCTAGATACGATTTCAATTTCAACTAATCACATTGCAAAGATGAACAGTTTACAACCAATTACAAAATTATTAAAGGTGACAAAATGTTTGTTCATTATCACTTGAGCACACACTTGCAAAACAAGTACACCAATCACCGATCGCTAAATTTTTCTTTGACACCATACATTTTTTTAGAAATGGGTGGTAGGGAATCTTAATTGCCGTGGGCAAAATGTCAACCCAACTTATAGGTCAACCAAAAAGACTAGACTTGAACAGACCATATTTATTTATTCGGATTATACACATACATAATGTTTTTGATTTACACTGTCTGTGTTAGATATTACATAACATGAATTTCATTGTTAGATATTACTATCGTAAGAACGCAATATTTGATCGATCGAGCCATAATTATTAACTTTTGTCTCACTGATATCGCACTATGTGGATTTTGACTCAGTTCTTAATTTCCAAAATAGTCTTTTATCCATCTTCAATTGAAACCATTAATATACGCAAATCGAAGTAAACAACTATCCAATACACTTTAGTATATATATATATATATATATATATATATATATATATTATATATATATATATATATATATATATATATATATATATATATATATATATATATATATATATTCGTTCTATTGTGTACTAGTGTTATTTATCAGTTCATGCATAGTACATAATTAACAGTAAAAACAGTTCTTACTAGTAGAATAAGAATAGATTTGTTCAACATCAACTACTTCCATCATTATGTTTATGGAACAACCATAAGATTTTATTAATTATATTTATAAAGAATAGAGTCAATAATTTTCTCTCTGAAATTTTTCATGAATATGAAATATACAGAATCAACATGTAGATGGTGTTGTTCAGTTTACTGTTAAGTATGTTGTGATCGTGAGAGATCTAGTATTCAACTCTGTAATAACTAGATGTAAAAGAATTATGAACAACCAAATGCTCTGGTATGGCCGAAGGTGGAAAGAGTTAGCCCTCCCTCTCTAAATGCTCTCACATTACCACACGTATACAGCCATTGACACAGAGGTCTTACTGTCTTCTCGCACCACGAGAAGCAAATGTCCGGCGCTTTAACCGGGTTGGTAGACACGAAGAGTCCACCTAAGGGAGCTGGAAAACCCTGATTCCAAACCAACTTTGCACATTAGCTCCATGATCCTAAGGGAACAGATGGAGTACGAATCAATCGTTGGCCATGGGCTACCATGGGACTGCATCTCCTGAAGTTGCTCCATTGCCTTTTCGATCCTTATACTTAACTGATGTGAACAGAGAAGCAAGATGGTTTGACAAACTACGAAAGCTATTCTTTTCGGAACGTTATTTCATTTTATGCAAAGCTTGTAAAACACTAACAATTATTTTTTTTTCTAGTCTATTCTACAGAACATAAGCTTTCGTTTGATGTATGATTCACTGCCATAGACCTTTTTGTTCCAAAGCTATTGTCATTTAAACATAATGTTTTGTACCTTATTTTTTACATTAATCCCCAGTTTTGGACATGATTGTATTTTCACAATTGATTGATCACTGGGTGGTGATCAATCTCATGCTTGTCTAGTCCTTATTAGTGCAGATCGAATGCTATCGATCATGTTGCAATGTGGTCACCAGTCTAGGTGACTCGACACTGCGGGCACTATGTATTGAGATTAGATGGTGATTGGAGGTAGTCAACAGGAAACCCTGGACCCGGGTTTCGTGCTACTTGGCACTCGTCAGCAAGGTGTACCTGTAATCTTGAGGGAACTGGTGCTCCCTGGCGGATTCGATCTCGTGTCACCCAGCTTCACAGTCAGAGACGTTACCACTGAGCTATCCGAGCCGTGACTAACCTCCTGTAGGACTGAGATGTAATCACAATTGATTGATCACTGGGTGGTGATCAATCTCATGCTTGTCTAGTCCTTATTAGTGCAGATCGAATGCTATCGATCATGTTGCAATGTGGCCACCAGTCTAGGTGTATATATATATATATATATATATATATATATATATATATATATATGCACAGAGCTTCTGCTGTCATTCTTACTTTATGAGTGTTAAAACTATACTGAAGTATTTTGATCCCTTTGAAATTAATCTTTTGCGCTATTACCAATCTATTCTCAAGTTTCTTCAGATCAACCAAGGATTTGGGAACATGTTTCAAACATTGTTTGTGTTTCTTCAACCTCAACTTACATCCATCAGGGCTGTTTCCAGAATGTCATCGATGGCACAGTTGAAGAGGAATGGTGAGATTGGGCAACCCTGCCTAACCCCAGTGCTCGAATGGAACAATGGAGAGAGGTGGTTGTATGCCCTCACTCTGCCTGAGGTGTTTGTGTATAGGGCTTTTAGGATGCTAATAAACTTCTCAGGCACACCCTTCTTGAATAGACAATCCCAGAGAACAGTCGTATCCAACGAATCGAAGGCAGCCGTGATGTCAAGAAACACTACGATTGTTGGCCTTTGATAAGTATGGCGGTGTTCTAACATTTGAGTACTGAAGCAGTTTTTCTGAAACCACTTCTTGTTCGTCCATATGCACAACGCTTCTGCTGTCAATCTTACTTTATGAGTGTTAAAACTATACTGAAGTATTTTGGTCCCTTTGAAATTAATCTTTTGCGCTATTACCAATCTATTCTCAAGTTTCTTCAGATCAACCAAGGATTTGGGAACATGTTTCAAACATTGTTTGTGTTTCTTCAACCTCCCATTCAATTGTCTGGAAGCTTTTCCCATATAAGTTGAATTACAATCATAACAGTCGATCTCATAGTCAACATTCTGTTGTTCTTCCTCTGGGAACCTATCCTTAACTTTCACTGATACTAATCTTATGTTTACGATCCACCTTATTCACATTTCGAGGCGACCTTTACAGGCAAAAAGAAGGTTTAGCAATGCGTTCACCAATTTCTCCGATTGTAGCAAATTTTGTCATGCATTCCATAGAAACCAATGTAATCACAAGATGTGTGTGTCCGCCAACAGTTCGGTCATGGTTATTAGATGATATTTTTATTATCATTAAACGGAATGTTTGAAAATATAAACAGCATTTCGGAGAGCATTAAGCTAACAAAGGAAGTAAAATCCAGTGACCACAAACTAGCGTTTGTCGATTGTTTAGTTGTACGAAGACATGATAATAAGTTGAAAATAATTGTTTTCAGGAAATTAACATATTCTGACAGATACTTAGATTATGGTTCGGCTCATGCGTTTTGTACAAAAGTCTCAGTTGTAAAAACTTAATTAACAAAAGTATTAATCTTGTTACAGATAAGGAAGATCAACAGGTTGAATAGAATAGAGTTTTGTCTACGCTTCTATAACTTTAATATTCAGCTTTAGTCCGGTTATCTCAGCATGGTCAGCAAAATATTAGCGAAATCAATCCGTAGACATGATATGTAAAACTTGATTCAAAACATTTTCAACGAATTAAATATAATGACAGCGTCTTCCATGAGATTCTGATCTTAGATTTTTAAGGGAAATGGTCAAACATATGAATTATTACTCAAAACAAACCTATTCTAAATAGTCGCTCAATCTTGCTCAAATGTTAAATTTTGTGCCTGACATGAACGTGAGTCAATTGATTTAAAATTTATCCAAAATGCGCCCCTAGATGCTCTGGCAAGGCCGAAGGTAGGCACTGTTAGCTCCTCACTCGAAATGCTCTCACTTGACCACGCGCATACAGCCATTAACACAGAAG